GCTGAACTTTGCAGTAGTTCATAAATTACATGTCTTACTTATCTGGACCCAGTGCCTAACACTGTGTAGTTTTCATGGAATTATATTTAATTGGTCTCAGCAAATTGAATTCAAGCATTTCTGTGTCCTTTTACTTTTCCTCTTTATGAAATTAAATGGATTACTAATTTTTACTTTTTAAGAAGTAACATTTGTTTTCTTCTGCTTATAGAATCACCACATGCAGATGATAGAAAATACCAACAAACATCTATTTGCTACACTAATGAAAATGCAGCAAAACACCTTGATTATGCAAATACAGATATAATGCTGTTGGCAACTGTTTCCTGCATTCTGCACCAGGCTCATCCTGGTCTTTTCCCTTTCCTCAAAATAATGTGACCTCACGTTTTAGGTGACTGAATTTTTTTGTGTGGGGGAGGGCTTCATTTCTAGCCTTCTGCTGAAATTGTATGTATATTATTCTGCACAAAATCTTGCTAGGCAGCTATTTCCTTTTTACACATGACAAAACAGGGGCTTTAAAAAATTAAGTCTACCAAGATCTACATGCAGAAATCAATATATTTATAAATGCCAACAGCTAACAATCTGAAAATTAAGTAAGGAAAACAATTCCATTTACAAGAGTATCAGAAAAATCCAAATAAATGTAATGAAAGTAATGCAAGACCTATACGCTGAAAACTACAAAACATTGCTGAGAGAAATCAAAGATCCAGGTAAATAAACATACCATGATCATGGATTGAACACTTGTTAAGTTGACGGTTCTCTCCAAATTGATCTATAGATTCAATATAATCTCTATCAGAATGGAGTTGAGGACATGCAGAGGGGGAAGGGTAAGCTGGGGTGAAGTGAGAGTGGCATGGACATATATACAATACCAAATGTAGAATGGATGGCTGGTGGGAAGCAGCTGCATAGCACAGGGAGGTCAGCTCAGTGCTTTGTGACCACCTAGAGGGGTGGGATAGAGAGGGTGGGAGGGAGACAAGAGGGAGGGGATATGGGGATATGTGGATACGTGTGGCTGATTCACTTTGTTATATAGCAGAAGCTAACGCACCATTGTAGAGCAATTATACTCTAATAAAGATGTTGAAAAAATATATATATAATCTCTATCAAAACCCCAGCAGCCCTTTTTCTTTTTAGAAATTGACAAGTTTGATTCTAAAATTTATATGGAAATGTAAAGGAAACAGAATAGCCAAAGCAATTTTGAAAAAGAAAAGCAAAGGTGACAGACTTCTGCTACCCGATTTGAAAACTTATAAAACTATTACACTAATGAATACAGTGTGGTATTGCCACAAGGATAGACATATAGATCAATGGAACAGAATAGACAGCCCAGAAATAAACCTTTACATTTATGGTCATTTGATTTTCAACAAATGTGCTAAAACAATTCAATAGGGA